AAGGATTAAATGATGAATCTTACACTCCTGAATATGTTCCCAATTCGAACATCAGGGACATTAGCGCATAATAGTGTAGTAGTTTAAGATCAGAACCAGTAGTTCATATATAAGTTGATTAGGTTCCTATGCCCGTTCCTTGAGTGAATTCCTTCTTTTTTTTATGGTGCATTTTTCAGATGGTTGATGATGGTTAATCATCAACCTTTGCTTTTCGAGAATTTGGGTATAGATTTTTTTGTTTCAATTGACTTAGGATTGATAGGCGTGGGATGTGTATATAAAAACAAGCCCTTTGCTATGTCTCAAGTTTTAAATTTGTAAATTCTTAAATACTCCACACACAACTGCAAGTATACAGGTCATGTTTGAGTGTAGAGTATTTGACGAGCGCGGGGTATATACATACAATTAATTCATCCATAATCAAGTTTTATATTTATAAACTTCTAAATACTCCACACGCGATTTATCGCAAGTATACGAATCGTGAGCGAGTATAGGGTATTAAGAGTTGATCCCACAGGAAAGATTGCAATTACTGGTATTTTTTCGAACTCCTTTATTATCTAGACTACCATAAATATAAAAGTAATGAAAATTAGCACTAAAAAACTGGTAGAGGTATGGAATTCCTTACTACTCTTGCAAATGAAGTTACCGGTTAAGTAAATACTATTATCTTGGCTAGTTATAGCGTAATTTCCTAATGTATGTGAAATCTACTCTCGTAGTGAATCAACTATACTTGTAACTAAACCATACCTACTCTCGTGGTTATGAAATTAATTATAAGCTCATTTCTTCTATGAAATTACAGAAACAAGTCACTAAATCCACAAAAGTGCACCTCTACTCTCGTGAGTGTACTTCCTAGGTTTATCACTTCCTTGAACTAGTGTTAAATTTCAATTCTCATTGCAAACTTAACACCTTAAGATTATCACAATTAATGGCCGGTTAATCATGATTAGATAAGCAAAAGTGATAAATAACTTGCTCAAAATAATATCATCAAATAACTAAGTAAACATCACTAACAAGATATAACAAGTTCATCCATAATCTAGGCATAAACCTTAGAAACACATATTGAAACACAAATCCAAAACTTGCATATTAACCATACTTAAAAATCCAATACAAAAGATAAAGAGTTGGAGAAGGGATAACTCTTGTCACATGAGATTCAACCCCTCTTTCTTTATTTCCATCTTCATCCTATTCTAGCCAATACACAAGAGTGGATAACACACATAACTATTTAAACTATTCTATACTATACTAACCTAACTAATGAACTAAGAAAAACTAGTGAAGACTACATTTTTGGTGAGTTTCTCTAGCCTTCCAAAGTTATGAAAATACTCTCCAAAAACCTCTATTTATAGAAGAATTCAAGAGTCAAATGAGTTGTTAAAATTGTCATTTTTGACTCTTGAATCTTTCATGAGTTGTCTTTCCAATTTTTCAACCTTTTCTTGATCAGATACAGCTGAGATTGAGTTGGAAAAGTTGTATGAAAGCAGGGCAAGTTGATGAACAAGTTACAGCAATCAGGCAAGAATACGCGACTTCAAGCCATATTTTCATGAAGTCGCGTTTTCACTTCTGTGCATTTAGCACCACTTCAACTGCTATTTTCTCAATGATGAAGGCCCAACTAACTCTTGTCTAAAACATGAAAGTTATAGTTCTTTGAGTTAGCTTTCCAATTCCTCAAGAATCATCTCATTTGGAACTCTGTGAACCGAGATATGACCAAAATACCATAGACTGGTCAGAGCTCTGTTTCAGCTTTCAACAACAGAGTTGCACTTCTGTATTTCGACTTTTTGATAATGAAAACGGCTGAAATAGACTTTGATATTTTCATACCAAATATAGATCTATATCTTAGCTTCAAAATGGTTAAAAAAATCACCTCAATCCAATGCTTGTATCTCAAGGTATATCCGGAATACCATAAGGTGTCAAAACTGTGAAACTTGTTTCCTTTTGTTCTTGATTGCATTTCCTCTTTTGCACTTCATATTCTCTTTTCATTACTTTAAACCATCATTAATCATCCAATTATTTTCTCAAGTCACTCCATTTGAAGATTGAATCATTAAACCTACAAAAACATAAAGTTTTCACCATAAAAATCCATAGCAATGCAATTTTCACACTTTAATCCTCAAAATGCATATTTTCACTCGAATCTTAGTTAATTAGCTAAAAAATGACTAAAACACACCAAATCTAAATAACAAAACATACTAAAAACACGTAAAATATATACTTGTCAGTATCAAAGGCCGATCTCACAAGGAAGAGTGATCAATTACCAATGCTATTCAAACTCCTTTATTATTTAGATGTTCACTAATGCGAAAAGTAAATGTAAACTATAAACATATAATAAAAAAGGAATAAATCAACAATATAAAGCTCCTAGAGATTGGAATTCCTAACCACTCTTTGTCAGCAATCTTACTTAGGTAATTGAATACTACTACCTCGATTAGTTATGGCATAATTTTTTTATGCCTGTGAAATTTACTCTTGTAGTGAATTAACTATGCTTATATCTAATCTATACCTACTCTCGTGGTTATGAAATTAGTTACAAATTCATGAATTTCTATGAAATTAATATAAAACAAGCCACAAATGTGCATTTCTACTCTCGCGAATATACTCCTTAAGTTTAGCACTTTCTCGAGCTAACATTGAAGTACAACTTTCATTAATAATCCAATATCTTCAAATAATCACAACTAATGACCATTTAATCATGATTGTAAGAACAAAAGTACTAAATAACTAATACAAAAGTACTAAATAACTAACTTAAAGTAATAGCATCAACCTCTCAAGCATCAACCGAAGGCATGAAACTTTAGCTAAATTTAAAGAAAATAAAAATACAATCCAATTTGGTGTTATGACTAACAAAAAAAATCAAATACACGAGTTAAAGTGTTAGAAAAGATTAAACCCTTGTCACTAGAGTTCAACTTCTCCATCTTCAACCTCAATCCTCATTCAAGGTTGCTAATACAAAGATGGGATGATTAATCTACTCTTGCACTAACCTAATCTAACTGAAGATCTAAGATCTAGTTAAGATCTACATTTTTGTAGTGGTTCTTCTCCTTGTTTTCCACTCTATTTCCTAGAAATTTCTTCCATATGGCCCCTTATTTATAGTTCAATTATTGTACAAGTTGCAACTTTTTGATAGAGCGATTATTGGGCATATTTTGAACTATTATTCTGTCCTAATTTTGGCTATTCATGATGCTAAGAATTGAGCTCTTGCTCATATTTGATATTTGTGTGAATTGTAGGTGGTTGGTGTTAAAAGTAATCTCTTGAGGCAAATTTTCAGAAGACCCTTTATTTCAGGACGTGCCCACGCCAGAAATTGTAGAGGATATCCAAAGCCGGACCCATGGGATTGGTAGCAGCAGGACTAACTAGGAAACCAGGCCCACGTGAACCAGATGCATGGAATCAAAACCCAGCCAACTAGAGAAAGTAAAACTCCCAGACGTTTTTCCTTCTCTGCTGGCAGTGCTACTTGAAAATATAAAAAGGACGGAAGCGAGATTCATGTGATATTGATAGATTAGATTTAGTTTTCCTTTTTCCCATCTGTCAGACATCGGAGACTTTTTTCTAGCTTTTGACTTTGTACGATTTTGAATCCTTGATTTCTACTCTTGCTCTGGAGAATTCTTCGTTAGCTTTTGTTTTGTAATTTTGGCTCCACTACGGAGACAAAACCCAAGAAAGAGACAATGCCTTTTTGCCTGCCTCCTCGTTATTTCTCCCTTTCGCAACTTTTCGGTAATTAGTTGAATGATTTCAATTAAATCACGTGAGATTGATACGATGAGGAGCTATTAGCTTTCTCCTCTACTCAAAGGTCGACGTGAAGGCGCTGTTCATAATATTTGTGAGATCTAATCAAACTTCCACTATTTCTTCCAATTCGTTACTATTCATGCGTTTCTTGGATTAATTGTTTATGACTATTTTATTTATTGAGTATCAATGGTTGGATATTTAATTTAATTTAATTGCCTACTGTCACATTAACTAAATTGAATCCGTAATTGTTCGTTTAGTTGATAACTAGTGACAACCACCATAATTGGCTTTATGTTAGGAAAACGCAAGATCTAATTTAAATAAACCCTCTTAGCGTGTTTATTGGTTAGGGCTGAAAAGTTGACCCTTTGAGTAGAATTTTATTAATTGCTATTTTTAGTAAATTGTATTTGGTGAGTTAGTTTTTGAATTTTGTTTATTTTATTTTTATTTTCATTCCATTGAATATTCCCTCCCAGTTTGTTCTATTGACTTGGAAAGAAACAATTTCCTATCCGTTCCCTGTAGAATCGACCCTACTTGCCATTGTACGCAAATTTAATATTTTTATAGATAAATCTGGTATATCGAATCAAACAAACTCTTCGGGAATAGGATGAATCAAGTAACCCATTGCACACCTAAGATCCCTGCTCTAGTACTCGGATTTGTTCTATAATTAATTGTGATGGTAATTAGAATTTTTTAGTAATTATTATTGCACAGGCTCGATACCTGTCAATTTTTTGGGCTGTTGCTGGGGAACAGTGTTTTGATTAATTTTGTTTCTTTCTAAGTGGTTTTTTTTTTATTTGTCTGACATTTTTCTAATTTATGTCTCGTTCTTCTCGTACAAATGAATTGATTTTCGACCCAGAAGTAGAGAAGGCTGCACGCCGAACCAGGAAATAGACTAGACAGCTCAGAGAGGCGTAATCTAGTGTTGCATCTCAGGAATTGGATCCAGAGATTGAATCAACAAGTTTAAGTGGTTAGAATTCAAGCAATCTAGGCCAAGAAGACATCCCTATGGCGAATGCAAGAACACTAAGGGAGTTGGTTGCTCTGGAATTGCCTCAGCAGCCGTTGTGATTCATTCGAACTGAAGTCGGGATTAATTCACCTCTTACCCACATTCCATGGCCTCTCGGGCGAAGAACCCCATAGACATATCTAGGAGTTCGATGTGGTATGCTCTAGTATGAAGTCTCCAGAAATTACTGAGGAGCAAATTAAACTTAGGACCTTCCCTTTCTCCCTCAAGGATGCAGCGAATGATTGGTTGTACTACTTACCTGCAGGTAGCATCACAACATGGGCTCAACTGAAGAAGAAATTTTTAAAAAAATTCTTCCCTACGTCCCAGGCCGCAAGTCCAAGAAAAGAGATATGCAACATTAAACAATATCCTGGAGAATCCTTATACGACTATTGGGAGAGGTTCAACAAATTGTGCACTAGATACCCACAGTATCAAATTAGTGAACAACTTTTAATCTAATATTTCTATGAGGGATTCCAGGCATCTGATAGGAGCATCATTGATGCTGCGAGTGGGGGAGCATTGGCAAACAAGATACCGAAGGAAGTATGGCCGCTTATCGAAGTTATGGCAGAAAATTCTCAACAGTTTGGCTTCTGCGAGAGTAACCCTACCCATAGGGTTAACGTGGTAGAGATGTCGTCTATTCAGCAGCAGCTATCGGAACTAACATCTTTTGTTCGGCAATTAACTATGGAGAACGTGCACCAAGCAAAGGTCTGTGGAATATGCACAAACGCAGGCTACCCCACTGACTCGTGCCCTATGTTGCAAGAGGATGTGGCTGAACAAGTGAACATGGTTGGAGGTGTGCCCGCGCCTCATAGGCAGTATGACCCATACTCGAACACGTACAATCCGGGGTGGAAAGACTACCCCAATTTCAGCTATGGTAATAGACCACAGAATTCATTTTCTAATCGTCCACCAGGATTTCAGCAACCATGGCAACCAAGGCCACAACCTTTATCATCTAATTTAGGAAGCTCTTTGGAGGATATTGTCAAGAGTCTAGTCACGAGCACTGCTCAGTTCCAGCAAGAAACCAGATCGGGTATGAAAAATTTGGAGACTCAAATAAGTCACATGGCGACTACAATTAATCGCATGGAGTCTCACGTTTTTGAAAAATTGCCATCACAACCCGAGGCAAATCAAAAAAATGTAAGTGCCATGACACTAAGAAATGATAAGGAAGTGGAGGGGTCTAAGTTGACGAATTCGAAAAGTAAAAGTGAGGAGAAGATAGAAAAAGGAATTGAAGAGGAGGAGCGCATTCGCGAAAAGGTTAAGGTAACATCTATTCCTTCGATCCCTATTAAATCTAATCGAGTTTCTTTTGCTTGCAGGTTGGAAAAGATAAAGAGGCAGAAAAGAAAAAAGAAATTTTGGATGTGTTTCGCAAAGTGCAAGTAAACATCCCCTTATTAGACGCGATCAAACAGGTACCCAAGTACTCAAAGTTCTTGAAAAACTTGTGCGTTAATAAAAGAAAGCTAAGGGGTGATGAGAGAGTGATGGTAGGAGAGAATGTATCAGCTGTACTTTAAAGGAAACTCCCACCTAAATGCGGGGATCCAGGTATGTTTATTATTCCCTGTAAAATTAGCAATTCTAGTATAAAAAATGCCATGATAGATTTTGGGGATTCTATTAATGTGATATCTAAATCAATCTATAATTTCCTAAATTTAGAACCTTTAAAAGAAACGAAAATAATAATTCAATTGGCTAATCGTACATGTGCTTATCCGGATGGGACAGTTGAGGATATTTTAATGCAAGTAGATGGATTAATTTTTCCTGCTGATTTTTATGTGCTTTACATGGATGATAGAAGTGTCCCAAATCCATCACGCATTATATTGGGAAGATCATTCTTGAGTACTACCCAAACTAAAATTGATGTTAGTAGGGGTATTTTCACGATGAAATTTGATGGAGAAATAGTCCACTTTAATATTTTTAATATAATGAAACATCCTGTTAATTCTCATTCTGTGTTTGCTATTTATACCACTAATCTCTCTATGCAAGAATTTTCTGAATTTGCTTGTAGGGGTAAATTCAAAGTTGCTGCAAATAAGTACCATAGGATGAAAGTAATTTATGAGATGAAAATGGAGAGAAAATTTAGGACAAAAGTTGCACTCAATGGCCATGTGGATCTCGGAGGAGGGCCACCAATTACAAGAAAAATTCAATTACATCCAAATTAAAGAGTGGTGCTATGTCTAGCCAAAGACATTAAAGAAAGGTGCTGCCTGGGAGGCAACCCAAGGACTACAATATTAGTTGTTGTCATATTTCGTACTTTATGATTTTTCAGTTCTATTTTTCTATTTTAACTGTTTTTGTGGTGATTAATATAAGACTAAAGTTTACAGGGCGTGCCCACGCCTTATAGGGGTACGCCAGGTGCACTGTGCAAGTGGGGGACTGTCAGTTTCAAGACGTGCCCACGCCTTAGAAGGGAATCTCTTAGATATTATTGAGACGCGATGGTCAGAAGACTATAACCTCCAAGGCGTGCCTACGTCTTCTAACCTTGGCGACAGCGAAAATCAAACGTGACCAGGACCTTACTTTTTTATTTTTTCTTTTTCTTTGTCTGGTCTTTTCCAATTGCTTTTCTCTTAGTTTCCCAAGTTTTCCTCATTGTCTACCGCCGTTCTCACCATCACACCACCGCCTCAAAAATCTCTCTCTTTCATTGCACGCTGACTTCCTCGGGCCAGCCATCGCCCTCGACAGCCCACACCACCAACGTCTATTGCTGGCCCTCTCTCTCTCTCTCTCTCTGTCGATCCACCAGCGCGCATACGCATCCCTAGAAGCGCACGGCCTTCGCGAGTGAGCCTTGCGCCCAAGAGTCGCGCGCGCCTCTTCTTCTTGCACATTCAGCGCGCCTGCTTGCACGAGCCCAGGCCTGCGCCCACCCCTGTGCGCAGAGCCCAGTGCCAAAGCTCCCACAGCAACGACCTTCGCATGCGACTAGTAGCTCAGTAGCTCGGCCAGTAGCCGCGCGCCATTTCCCCAGCGCGCGACCAGCCTTTGTAGAGCGCATGCCATGCGCCCCTTAGTCGCCTCACCTCCCTCCGTCTTAGTGTCTCGTTGCACCCTCTCGGTGGTTAGGGAAGTTTCTCTTCTTTTCTCCTACACTTCATTCGTCTTTTCTACATTGAGGACAATGTAGATTTTAGGTGTGGGGGGGATGGCTTTCATTAGTATTTCCTTTCGCTTTGCTTTTTAAACAAAAAAAATGAAACAAAACTAAGAAAAAAAAGTGTAGTTAGTTGACTTCTTTGCTATGATGAATTATATAATCATGGTGCATGGGTATGTGGTCAAATATGCTAGCTGTGCATTTTGCTTTCCTTGGCAATATCGTTGAATGCTGAATATGCTGGACTTGACTCATTCTTGTAACTTTTGGGAGCTTTTGAGCCATGCATGAGCACATTATTCTTGTTTGCTCTATTTTTGTTTGATTGAGTGGGTATCACACATGGTATTGACATTCTAGAACTTACTATTTTGTACATGTTGAGATTACATTTTGTTGAACTGGATGCATTTGAAATGATAAGGGCATTTAGGATTTAACCTCCTTTAACTTTCTAAAAATCATGCATTCATCTTGTCTCCCAATAGTGAACCAATTTGAGCTTTTACCCTTCACTTTTGTTTGTTAGCCGTGTTTGATAACCCATGACCTTTTTAGACTTTCTTGTTCAACCTTGTGTCATTAAGAGATGTTTGAAATTCATTACTTGTGCAAGACAAATAAATTTATAGTCGCAAGTGTTGTTAGAGTAGATGCTGTATGGTGCTATTTCTGTACATCTGAGATCGAAAAAAAGAGAAGGAAAAAAAAGAGAAAGAAAAAAAGAGGGAGAAATTATCAATAAGATGGTGAACAGCAGACTCTGGCTTACAGGGCGTGCCTACGCCTTACAAGACGTCGCCCCTTTTGTACAAAAAAAAGAGAGAGAAGAAAAAAGATAAATCAAATCGACACTTGCACAATGGGTATAGCAAATGGAAATGCCTCGTTCATGAAATTGCTCCAATAAAGTGTTGAGATTATGTAGTGGATATCGGACATTCTCTTGACACATTAAGCCTTATTTTTACCTTCTTACCCCGCCTTTTACCTAAGCCCCATTACAACTCTATCAAAATCCCTTTGATTTGTGTATTTAGTTCACTTTTGAGTGGTGGAGATGTGATAAATGTGCAAGCCTATGGTAATGTCATTCTGTGATGTTGATTTGAGTGTTCCTTGTATCCATACATTCTCTTGTAGGTGACGAGTGTTCCTGTCCATACTTTTTGGATGACCACTTCTCCGGTGTGTTCTGATTTTAGCAACATTATCAGAGATCTGAGATGCTTGTATTAGTATAGATTACTGCATGACATTTGCTCTCTTGGTTGTACTTCTGAGTTCCGAAATGTTTGAGGACAAGCATTGTCTAGGTGTGGGGAGATTTGACAGAGCGATTATTGGGCACATTTTGCACTATTATTCTGTCCTAATTTTGGCTACTCATGATGCTAAGAATTGAACTCTTGTTCATATTTGATATTTGTATGAATTGTAGGTGGTTTGTTGTTAAAGTAATCTTTAGAGGCAAATTTTCAGATGACCCTTTATTTCAGGACGTGCCCACGCCAGAAATTGTAGAGGATACCCAAAGCCGAACCCGCGGGATTGGTAGTAGCAGGGCTAACTAGGAAACCAGGGCCACGTGAACCAGATGCATGGAATCAAAACCCAGCCTCTTAGAGAAAGTAAAACTCCCAGACGTTTTTCCTTCTCTGCTGGTGGCGCTACATGAAAATATAAAAAGGACGGAAGCCAGATTTACGTGATATTGATAGATTAGATTTAGTTTTCCTTTTTTCCATCTGTCAGACATCGGAGACTTTTTTCTAGCTTTTGGCTTTGTACGATTTTGAATCCTTGATTTCTACTCCTGCTCTGGAGAATTCTTCGTTAGCTTTTGTTTTGTAATTTCGGCTCCACTACGGAGATGAAACCCAAGTAAGAGACAACGTTTTTTCGCCTGCCTCCTCGTTATTTCTCCCTTTCGCAACTTTTCGGTAATTAGTTGAATGACTTCAATTAAATCACGTGAGATTGATACGATAAGGAGCAACTAGTTTTCTCCTCTACTCAAAGGTCGATGCAAAGGTGCAATCTATAACATCTGTGAAATCTAATCAAACTTCCACTATTTCTTTCAATTCGTTACTATTCGTGCATTTCCTGGATTAATTGTTTATGGCTATTTTATTTATTGAGTATCAACGGCCAGATATTTAATTTAATTTAATTGCCTACTATCACATTAACTAAATTGAATCCGTAATTGTTCGTTTAGTTGATAACTAGTGACAACCACCATAATTGGCTTTATGTTGGAGAAATGCAAGATCTAATTTAAATAAGCCCTTTTAGCTTGTTTATTGGTTAGGGTTGGATTTTTCTAGTCTTAATGCAACTGGATAATTAAATTCCTACGGTTGTACCTAGGGTTGTTATCTGGTTAGAGGAGCAGTCAACGATCGTACCTTGACTGTTGAAAAAGTAAGGAAGAACTGGCTGTCAGAGTTTGTTGATAGCTATAACCAACCTAGTGATGAATGGATGAAATATTTTTGCATCGATGATCATTTAATTGGATCGTGCCTGAAAAGTTGATCTTTTGGGTAGAATTTTATTAATTGTTATTTTTAGTAAATTGCACTTGGTGAGTTAGCTTTTGAATTTTGTTTATTTTATTTTTATTTTCATTCCATTGAATATCCCCCCCCAGTTTGTTCTATTGACTTGGAAAGAAACAATTTCCTATCCGTTCCCTGTGGAATCGACCCTACTTGCCATTGTACGCAAATTTAATATTTTTATAGACAAATCTGGTATATCGGATCAAGCAAACTTTTCGAGAACAGTGTGAATCAAGTAACCCATTGCGCACCTAGGATTCCTACTCCAGAATTCGGATTTGTTCTATAATTAATTGTGGTAGTAATTAGAACTTTTTAGTAATTATTATTGCACAGGCTCGACACCTGCCACTTTTCTCAAATTCAAATCTAGCCGATAATCTGCGCATGGATTGTTGGCCGAATTGCTCCTCTGTTTTTGCCTTGAAAATGCTAAAAAAAGCCTTCAAACAGGGATCTGCGGACTCTCTCATTTCACTTTGTGCTTCATTAGTCTTTTTTATATGAAAATTTCTCTATGAAGAAGGCTGAATTAGCTCTTGTGGAAAACATAATTGTAGCCTTTCTTGATAACTTTCCAATGACTCAAGAATCAAGTCATTTTAAGATCTAGGAACTGAGTCATGGTCAAAATACTAATGACTAGTCAGAAAGCATTGCAGGAAAAAAGTATTTCAGTAATTTGGACTTTTAGCTATGAAAACGTGTTTTTGTATCTTCACAAGAATTGTAGCCCTTCCTCTTAGTTTTTAAAATGGTTTAAGAATTATCTCAATCCAAGATTTGTAACACATGTTGCAACAAATGTACCAAAATATATCATTGCTACTAATGCTTTTCTTCTTGTTTCTTGATTGTATTTCATCCTTTGGTTCTTCATGTCACATGATTTCCACTCTGAATCATCAACAATCATGCAAGTACCTTCTCATTTCCCTTCAATTGATGATTGAATTATCAAAACCTAGGAAAACATGAAATTTTGGCACTTGAACCTATAGAAATGCAAGTTTTCTTAGTTAACCACAAAATACGAAACTTTACTAAAAACCTAGTTATTCGACTTGAACTTCAATGAAAACACACTAAAATACACATAAATAATCACACACAAATATGCACAACAAGCACTTATCAAGGGTCTCTGCTTAGTTGCTTAAGATTAGCTAATTATAGTTTTTTTTAAAGCTTAAAACTATCTCGATTTGAGGTATTTGCTTTTGATATTTGATTTTAACTTATTTTTAAGTTCAATAAAGCTTATTATAAGAAGCTACCATTGTTGTGCTTATGAAAATACTTTTTTCTATTCAGAATTCTAATGCAAAGATTATGTTGCAATGTGGTCTGTGTGTTAACAGTTGGTCTTCAATGATTTGGATGCTTTGCATGCCTTCAAAAATTTCCTCTTTTGCAGTACATCATGCACATATGAGTGATATTGCTACATTTATAGCTATCTATGCTAGCTTTCTCGACTGGCAATCAATGGAAATTTAAAGGATTTATTGATTTATGTCTCATTTGTATAGAGACTTGGACTATTGCGCTTGCACTTAGATACTCTTGATGGAAATTTAACTACCAAGCCGAATTTTAATATATTCTTCTTTCTATTACTTGTAATCTCCTTACACAAGGAGAAAAGAAATAAAATGGAAGTTTGGAGAAAAGTTGGAAAGCTGTGAAGGCAAGGATTCACGTGTCCAGAATTGAAGTATCTTAGTATTCTAGTGGATCTAAGAATAACTCTTTTAGATGTTCTCCATCTTTAGTAATTTGTTCATGTTCATATTGTGTTGTAATGATTAATTGAACTAACCAACGTTGCATACTGT